GGGAGCACCTCACACCAACCGTGAGCACGTGACAACTGGGAGCACCTTACACCAACTGTGAGCACGTGACAACTGGGAGCACCTCACACCAACTGTGAGCACGTGACAACTGGGAGCACCTCACATCAACTATGAACACATGAGGGGAGCTCTTCCGTCCTTATTCCTCTCTTTCCTTGTCTTCCGTTTTCATCTCTCTCTTTAGTTCCTGACACTAGATCTCCTGTAAATGTTCTCTCTCTCTGCCTCAGCCTCCTGAGTACTGCAAGGCCATCATGCCTGGCCCCTTTGAACATTTCAGACAAACAGTCCTGTGCGTGTGACACGTGTCCCTCCCTGAGCTAAGCCCAAACCAAGCTTTCAGTAACAGCTACATAAGAAGCCATCACAGTTCCAACAGGTTAGTTTGAGAGAAGTGTGGAACACACCTGTTTACGTGACCTCATAGCAGCTTCCTCCAATGTTTCTGCAGCTTCGAACTTCCCCTGCCGACGGTAAAGTGCTCCAAGGTTTTTCAAAGTGGTTGTGACGGTGGGACTGCAAGAGGGCACACAACACAGAACCAGTCAGTGCAAGTGCTGGCCATCCCGCGTGTTCTGATGCGCAGATGTTCGCAGTGGCTCAGAGAAGTCGGCACTGCTACAGGACACGGACGACAGCGCTCTTTTCAGCTACCATGCTCTAACGTTCTCTATGCAGGCAGCCTGGCACTCAGGACGGTTGGTCCTTACAGCTCTTGGCTGTGTATGTAGGAGCCAAGCAGGATGTGTACAGAAACCACAACACAGAAGGAGTGAGGACACGTGGGGACCAGGCACTCCCTGGCCAGCCAATCCAGCCAAAACAGCATGCTCCAGGTTCAGGGAGAGACCCTGGCTCAAAAAATGTACTTGGAGAGAAATAATATAGAGTAAAAGTCAGTGTTGCTCTGCCTCCACAGACATATACAGCCAAGTGCACGTGTTCACAAGGACATATTTACAAAGTCAGAAATTGGCTGATATGGGGTATACCTGTGTGATCCTAGCACTCAGGAGGCTGAGGCAGGTAGACTGAGTTTAAGGTCAGGATGGGCCCCATCACAAAATAAAAAGCTGGAAATCTCCTGGCCTTTGGTACTGGTCTGTACTCTGAGAGACGGCTTCCTCTCGCTAATGGTAGACATCTCAGTTCCAGGGATGAAGATGGCACCTACATGTCCCTCAGATGGACAGGGGAATCCTGTGCACTGCAGTGTGAGTACAACATAGGTGAAGGGGAAGCTGAGCCTTGAAGGAAGGCAAGACTGGGCTTCCAGCCCACACACATGCTGAGCCTGCCACACGGCTGCCTAGGGCGGCTCTAGTTAAGTGTTCCCTCCTCCAAGTAGGTGTCTGTCAATAAAAAGTACTGACAGCTGGCACCCCTGCTGGAGTCACTGTGGTGGAATAAATGGACATGATCTCACTGGGAAAACAGGCAGGTTTCTAGGTTATTTTTGCCTGTTGTTGTTGTTGTTGTTGTTGTTTTGGAGACAAGGTTTCACTATATAGCCCTAGAACTCCTTCTATTAACCTTAGACTCGTCAAGCATGTCTCTGTGCAACGGTCTCTCACGTACTGGGATTAACGGTGTGTGTCACCATGCCCGGATGTGTCACCACACCCAGGTGCTTTCTTTTTTATTGATCATTATTAGTAGTAGTAGTGGCAGTAGTAAAGGAAGAAATCCATGTAGGTACGCTCCCAGGACAAACGCTCCCAGCCAGCCATCTCATCAACTCGACGGTCAGGCTTAAGGAGAATATGGGGAAATGGGGAACCATGGGACAAGACTCTCACACTGGTCCAGGGCCGCCGTTCCCTGCTCTCTAGGGTTTGGCGTGGGCAGACTCACCTGTCCACTTTGCAGGCTTTATACCAGCCACCATACTCTCCAAAAGACGACCCGTCCTTCTGCTTTCCCTAATGGTCAGAGAAAGGTCAAGTGAGGGGGCTGGCTGCAGGGCACCCCACCCAGCCCGCAGAAGCAGCTCAGCCTTACTTTGCACTCTTCTCTCTCCTCAGCGTGCATCCAGATGGGCTTGTTCTCATCTAGGGAAGAAAACAATGTAAGCTGTGGAATGGAAACCTAGCTGAGGATGGCGGAGCCCAGGAGGCAGAGCCGGGTGGAGCTCCGCTGCAGAGTGAATTCCAGAATAGCCAGGACTACAGAGAAACCCTGCAGAGAGAAGGGAGGCAGGAAAGAGGAAAGGAAAGATCTGGGACCAGATGAGATGATATACGCCCTTAATTCCAGCACTTGGGAAGCAGAGGCAGGCAGATTGCTACGAGTTCTAGGTTAGCCTGCTCTATGTAGGAGTTTCAGGAAAACCAAGGCTACACAGTAGCCACTGAACAGACGGCCTCTAAGTTTGTCAGTGACTGCAAGGTTTTATCTTTTTGTATGAGCCTTCTCAGGAATTTTTTTCTTTCAAGCATGTGTACATGTGTTACATGCATGTGTATATATATGTTGTGCATGCATGTGGTCACACATATGTGGAAGTAGTGTGCACATGAATGAACATGCATGTGGAGAACCAAGGCTGGCATCTGGAGCCCCCCCTCACCCGCTCTGACTCACTCAGGGCAGCAGGATCTTTCAGCCACACCCAGAGTTGTTTCCCTAGACAGCCTGCTCCCAGGACTGTTTCCCTCTGAGGCTGGAATCCCAGGCTGGCGGCCACACCACCTGGCCTCCCCATCATCTCACAGCCTAATTCTGAGGTCAAGCTGACCCTGGAGGAAGTCTAGCAAGGGCACCAGAAGGGGACAGTGTCTAGCACTGAGGACGCCAGGTAGTGAATGTCTCCTCACTGAACAGAGGCTAGCCTCTGTAAAACATCCATATACATAAAAATAAGCTTTATGTAAATAAATAATAAATCCTTAAGTGAAAGAAAACCACACGTGTACATGTAATAATTGACAGAAACCCCGTGTGGATCCATCCTGTGACCTTTTCACAAATTCATAATTGCTGTCTGAGTGTTTTACACCACACTTAGTGAAAGAAACATTTAACATAAACATTGTTTTTGATTCAGCAACTTAAGATTTATTTATGTATATGGCTGCCCTGTCTGCATGTACATCCGCACACCAGAAGACATCAGATTCCATTAGAGGCAGTTAGTTATAAGCTGTCATGTGGTTACTGGGAATTGAACTCAGAGCCTCTCAAAGTGCAGTCAGTGCCCTTAACTGCTGAGTCATTTCTCCAAGCCCTGATTCAGCAATTTACACTCTATAAAATACAAATTTCACTGCATATCCTCCAGTGGCACAGGCAGAGGTTTGACAGAGCACTCAGGGCTACAGACTGAGGCCCGGACTGTCATGGGAACACCAACACTTTCTCTTCGCACTGTACATAAGTACCTGTAGCGTCTGCAGGGATATAAAGTAGGAGGGGCCTTGTCTGTGCAGCAAACAACACAGCAAGTCCACGGCACAGGGGACATTTATATTTGTCACAGGTTCCCATGGTGGACTGCAAACTAGACAGGATGAATGGCTCAGAGAAAAGGTTCCAGGGCTGGAGAGATGGTTCAGCAGTTAAGAGCACTGACTGGCCGGGCGGTGGTGGCGCACACCTCTAATCCCAGCACTTGGGAGGCAGAGGCAGGCAGATTTCTGAGTTCAAGGCCAGTTTGGTCTACAGAGTGAGTTCCAGGACAGCCAGGGCTACACAGAGAAGCCCTGTCTCGAAAAACCAAAGAAAAAAAAAAGAGCACTGACTGGTTCTTCCAGAGGTCCTGAGTTCAATTCCCAGCAACCACATGGTAGCTCACAACCATCTGTAATGGAATTCGATGCCCTCTTCTGGTGTGTGTCTGAAAATAGCGACAGTGTACTCATAGATATAAAAATAAATAAATTTACAAAAAAAGGAAGGAAGGAAAGAGAAAGAAAGAAAGAGAGAGAGGAGAGAGAGGAGAGGAGAGAGGGGAGAGAGGGGAGAGAGGAGAGAGAGGAGAGAGGGGGAGAGAGGAGAGAGGAGAGAGGAGAGAGGGAGAGGGAGAGGGAGAGGGAGAGGGAGAGTGAGAGTTAGTTCCCAATTGGTGGCTCAGGCCATTATGAGGTAGGCATGGCCTCTGGAGAAAGACATTGTGGGAGGCTGTGAGGGGGACAGCCTCGCTGCGCTGCCAAGAGCACCCAGGCAAGCCCAGAGCCTCACTAATGGTCACTGAATGGTGAATGACCATACAGCCTCCGACACAGCTTCTTTCCTACCACTAGTTAAGAGACTCAATTCAAGGCCAGCAAGATGGCTCAACCAGCAAAAGTGAAGCCACAGGGCAGAGCGGGCGTGGTGACACACACCTGTGTGGCGGCAAGACAGGAAGGAGTAGGCCAGCCTTGGCGTGACCGCCAGCAGCTGGGATGGCGTCTGACCTCAATATGCATACTCATAAACAACACTCAATAAATGGACAATTTTTTTTTTTTTTTTTTTTGGTTTTTTGAGACAGGGTTTCTCTGTGTAGCCCTGGCTGTCCTGGAACTCACTCTGTAGACCAGGCTGGCCTCGAACTCTTGAACTCAGAAATCCGCCTGCCTCTGCATCCCCATGCACTGCGATTAAAGGTATGCACTACCACTGCCCATCGAAGACCACTCTTTAAAACATACATTTAATACATGTGCTTAGAATATTGCTTACCATCCACAGATCCAAATTCCCGTTCATGTGCGCGGGTAAGAATCTCCTTGTACAATGTTTCTGCTTGTTTGAACTTCCCTTGTTTCAGATAACAGGAAGCCTTGAAGAAAATATAGTACTTAGTGCCTTCACAGAGAAGCAAGGATGGACTTTCATCTACAGAAGAGTCACTGCCCGTCTGCCATACCAGGTTATTCTTGGTCTTGGCCACGTTGGGGTCATCAGGCCCCAGCTTGGTCTGGTAGATGTCCAGGGCCCTCTGGTAGTAGTACTCCACCTCCTCATACTTGCCCTGGTTCTGGCACAGCAGGGCCAGGTTATTCAGCTGTTTGGCAACGTCAGGATGATCCTTTCCCAGAACCTGGGGTTAGAGACAGTGCATCAGAAACACCGCCATCCTTCAGTATGGACCTCCTGCCAAGAGCTCTTCTAAAACATGACCTGCTGTGCTCCACGTGCAGACAGGAAAGCTACAGAACTGCCGTGCCAGACCACAGCAGAGTGGCTGCAGTCGCTGACCTCACCTTGAGGGAAGGAACGGGTGTGGTGCTCACTTCCTCAGCTCCCTTAATGTCAAGGTGGGAACAAACAAGTCACTAATGTGGCCAGGGTCAACTGTCAACATCACATTCCCCTGCCTCTACCCACCAATTTCTGGAATTACATGCTTGAGCTACCGTACCTGGCTCTTTATTTTTCTTTATTTTTGGGGGGGTGGGGTGGAATATCTGTTAGATTCTTTAGGGACATGGTCTCACTCTGTAGTGCAGGCTAGCCTGAAACTTGCTATTTAGGCCAGGCTAGTTTTGAACTCTTGGCAGTCCAGCTCAGATGTTAGGATTGCGTAGGCTTCCACACCCTTAGTAACTTTGTCTAATTCATGGCAGGCTCTACAGAGCAGACCACGAAGCTAAGGAAGTGGGTTCCTGAAGGCTCTCATTACCTGAGTTCAAATGCTCCACCCCAGGTGCTGGCTGCTCTCCAAGCAGCCCCACTCCTACAGACTCACTCAGGACCTCAGTGGGCTCCTCCCTCCATGGAACACCAATGTTTTCCCCTTCCCACTGCCTCATAAGCACACCTGCTATTCTTCTCTGACAAGACTCAGCACCAAAAATCATCCTGCTAATCCTTTCCTTGCCTCAGCCTTGCCCTAGAATATGAACTCGAGACTGTAAAAGTTGGTGTCTTCCCTCAGCATCCTCCCTAGAAAAGGCGCCTGATACAGATAGCAAAACAAACTCACAATTCCCTCCAAAACCTGCTCAAGCACTGGGTCTGATGGCCCACACCGTCAGTCACTGCACTCTAGGAGGCAGAGGCAGGCGGATCTCAGTGAGTTCAAGGCCAGCCTGGTCAACAGAGAGAGTTCCAGGACTAACAGAGAAAGCCTGTCTCAGGAAAAAGTAAAAAACGAAAACTCAAACACTGTCCAGGCCCTGGTTTCTCGGCACTGTGCTCACCCGTGCACAGGACCCACGCTTTTCCACATGCTCTATCTCTCCCTGTCTCTGAAACTGTGAAGCCAGCTAGCCAAGGCTCAGTTCAAACACAAAACCTCCCTGGAAAGCTGACTCAGGGTGGCAAGGGCCCTACTCCCTACTCTTCTGTGGCTCTGCCCTACTGGTGATCCATCCTGGGCCCCAACCAATCAAGACACAATGTTCCTGCCAAGCAAGAAGTTCTACAAAAAGAATTTTTTTAAGAAACTTGGAAGAGGAGGTTGTTTTTTAAAACAGTTTTTTTCCTCCAGACTAGTATTAGACTTCTGGACTTAATAGAGAACATTGCCGCAGCTCACCTTAGAAATCTAACCCTGATCCCTCTTCACACTTAACTCTTGAACCTAGCCCACACAATCTGACACTTCCCTTTCCTAAGGAAGCAAATAAAACACAGCAAGGTATGATCTAAGGGGCTGGAGGGATGAGTTAAGAACACATGCAGCAGACCTGGACTTCATTTCTAGCATCCACGTGGTAGCCCACAACCATCTGTCACTTCAGTTCCACGGGTTCACATCCAGTGCCTGCTTCTAACCTCTGAGGGTACCGTGCACATGTGTTGTTGCACAGACATACATGCAGGCAAAACACTCATACATAAAATAAAGTGAATAAATCTAATACAAAATTTAGAAAAATTATCTATACATTTGATAATCCTTGCCATGTGGCTCAAAACTAAATGATTACTCGCCAATATCCCTGATAAACAGCTTCACGAAGTACCAGGCTGGGGCTGGAGGGACGGCTCAGTGGTTAGGAGCGTAGCTGGGGCT